TGCCCCCCACGCCGCTCTCCCCAGCCCCCTGCCTCTCGGCAGCAGCAGGCAAATCTATTACATGTCTCAAGGCACTACACAGGACGACGCTGTTTCCCAGCTAATCAATATTTGCGGCCACAAACTCCTCTGATCCCCTCTCTAAAAGCTTGCTTTCCTGCCGGGAATACAAAACACTGCCTCGGTGACACACACCTGCATGGATATGCATACACATGAAGCTCCAATTAAGGGATAACTGCAGCAAAGCATAAGCGGCTCTCGTGAAACAAAGCAAACAGCAGTCATATTAATAATCAATTAGATGGAGCAGCCACCTGATGCTGCCTATTTGGAGAAGTCACCAGCTGCCACCAGCTTTTGCCCATGCAACAGCAGCCAAATAAAGTCTCTGTCACGGTCATCTCAACTCGGCAAAACAACTGGTTCTGCCTCTCGACTTGTGGATGTTTTTCCCCTTACCCTAATTCCTAATTAGAAACATGAACATAGATAAATATCATGCCAGGATTTAAACCCAACTGGGTCACCAAACTGTACATTGCACTCTGTTCTCCAATTAAACCCCTATGTGAAACAGCTCAATTATAATTAAAGAAGCAATTATCCTCTTGTTGAAGGTGCAGCAAATCCCACATTTCATTGCAAGAGTTCATCTAGCTGCTTATGGCATATTAACTAATCTTACATCTCATTGATGTTCTGATCTATAACTTATTGCAGTGAGCTAATTTGATGAGACTTGGTGTCTCTCACTGTATTTTTTCATGTGCAGTACGATGTGTGCATCTTTCAAAGAACAAATGGAATGAGCTAAGGGATTAATTGCTAATAATTCTGGTTTTACTGTTGGAGCATCGCAGGATGGGACCCTGTAAAGAATGTGATCCTTCCTGGCTTCTCAGGCTTGGAAAAAATGCACGCACAAACCAGAGTGGAATTACAACGGAGGTTTCTGATGACGATGGGAAGGTGAACGGTCTGATGTCCAGACATGCTGAGCAGCAGCGGCTCTCGCTGAATCTGGCTGGCCAGGCTGCTTATCACCACCTTAGCCTCCACCAAGGAAGAACGCAAGGCCAGGAGCCATGCATACAGGGCAAAGTGTCTTGCAGCTACTTGGATTTTGGCTTGTTCTTATTTCCGTTCCAACTTTTTTTTCATTGCAGTCACTTGTGAATTTGCTCCCTCTGGTATGTGTGAGTACCTCAGCATAACAGTGCCTGGGGGGAGCTGGTGCTTCAGTTGTTTGTCTGTATCACAGTTGGAAAACAACAAAACATTTACCCAGGCGTTTCAAAACCTGTCTGTAAGTTTGGCTTGGTATTGGTTATAAACCTGGGAGTAGGGAGGCATGATTTTGAAGAGGGCTTTTGCTCTGGATTGCTTATCCTGATTAAAGCCTTAATGCAAACAGCTCTGCATTACTTTGAGAAATACAGCAGCGCTCTGGAAATCTGGGGAGAGCCAAATCTGTTGGGTTTTCCCTTGAATTTTGTTGTCTCACTGCTAATTTTCCCTTCTACCTCTCCTCTGCAGCCAGCCTGCAGCTGGCAGTGGTGCTGCTGTTGCTTAAGTGCAGCTGGCACCGCTGCTGCTGGGGGTGGCAGGCAGAGGCACACAGCCACAGAGAAGCTGATCGGATTTTCCCCGTGACTGAGCAAAGCCTCTGTTCCCACTTTGTCCCAAGTGAACCAAGCCAAATGTACTTTGATTTGACCCAGGCCATGAGACCGGTGTATTTTAACATACCTTCTTTTATTTGGATCTTGGGCTTTTTTTAGTGGCTGTTGCCTGAACTTTCTTTAATGCTCGTGATACCCTAGTGGATCTGAAGGACTAGTAAGTGCTGCTTTAAAAGCTCTGCCTGCCCATCTCTGTCTTTGTCCTTTTTGCCCTCTGGAGCAGCTGTATGCAACTATGTGGTTCCACTTTTCAACAATAATAAGACCTGTTCTAGCACTGATCCATAAGAGCTTGACATGCTTAATTGCAATCAAATATGCTGGGAATTATAAAACTAAATTCCCTAGTTATCGAAAGAGAAAAGGGTGTATCTCTAAGTGTGGTTGTTCCCACCACTTTCTAATATGGGGGGAAAAAATGGAGAGGGAGAATACAACTAAAAGGAGAAAATAAACAAGGGGAAGACTCTAGACTCGAGTATTCAATAAATGTGTATCTCATTCAGTTTCACAGCATAAGCTTTTTCTTCCTCTGTTTTGTTTTTAAAGCCAGTGATCACCACAGAAGCCAGTAAATTGAAAAAGCAAAACAAAATCCCATGCCCAGGGTAGGGAAGAGTTTGAGGTACAGGCTCACCAAAGCACTTGGAAATATTGCTAGCAGCTGCTGCATCTAAACCTTTCCATAGTATGAAAAGCGCCTCATAGTCTACCGCCTGCCCAAGTCCTTTCTTACGTAGTTACCTGTAGTGTCATATCAGAAAGTTCTCCGAACAAACAAATGAAGTCTTAAACAAAGAACTCATTCATCTCTAAATTAAAATAATCATGTAATCCTTCAACCCACCAAGTTACCTTTCATCTTTCCATTTTTTTAAATTTATCTTACTAGCTTCAGCAAGTGGCTGTAATAAAGTGTCACATTAAGGTATTCATATTCATTAGTGTTCAGGTCTTTGTTCTTTTAATAGTGTTGGAAAGACTCTACAAAGAGGCTGTATTAGGCTGCTGTCCAATCTGGGTGTTTGATCTCTTTCTGACTTCAAAAGTCAGAAGAGAAAAAAAACCCAACACTGAGAACACTTCTTTTGAATGTCAGATGGGGTGGATATGATTTCCGAGCCTGCCAAGTGTTAATTGGTGTCTGCCCCGACTACGGTACAAATAAGATTCAGAGCCAGTTAACATACAGTCATGAATCTCTGCTATTGACAAAAGTGAGCTGGGATATGAAAGAGCAGGAAAACGTGCAGTTATTATGAGGGCAGCTCACAGAGGATCTTTTCAGAGATCACTTCCTTGGGAGATGCTGTACTAGGGAGCAGACGTGGCTAGTGGGGCACATCTTTTAGCCTTTACAGCAACTCAGTGGAAGGAGGACACATATAATTTGACTTAAGAAAAACAATTACCAATGCTAATGGCTCTTCCAGAATGTTTATGAGAGCAGAGAGAGTTCCCTGTCCGCACATCATGCTAAATCATGCTGTCTGGGCCTCAGCCACCTGACCAGGTTTTACGGACCTTTCTGAGGGAACAACTGGACTAATTGCTGAAAATGCAGAGTTGCATGTATCACCACACTCATACAAATTGCCTGTCATGAGCAATCTCAGTTTCTAGCAACAGTTAACTTCCCCAGAACTGCCATGCATCTGCGGAACAACAGGCCCTGCTGCAAATGCCCTTGTCGTTGCACAACAGCAAGTTGATTTGATGCTAAGAAGCAAAGGCAAAATAAATAGTCGATAAGTTCCTGAGGAAAGCCAATTGATTAATATTGCACTTGTCAGCTAGCTGGCTCAGCAGACCTAAGCACTCTTTACATTTTTGGAGATCTCAATGGTGAAAGAAAACAGCCTAAGGAAAAAGAGAGTAGGAGAAATCTTCTATGCTAATTATCCCTTCTGATGTTTGTGGACACTTTTCTGCAATTCTGATTAAATCTAAACTTGGGTTAGATGGGGAGGTAACACTTTAAGCTTCATCCCCTGAGAAATCAGTCATCAGCACTGAATGACAACCACTTTGCTACTTAGCTATGACAGCCTAACTTATCCTAATGCAAATTGGCAACAGTTTCTTTTGCGCTTGGCAGAGGAAAACCGAGGAGAATTCAGATAGGGGAATTACCGTCGTTAACAATCAATTTTTCTCTTAACAGCAGCAGTGGATTTACAATTTCAGAGGCCCCCCTGTAATTCAGAGACCTCCCTCCCGTGAGCAATGAGTATGACGCTGTTTTCAGCTAGAACCACCACTGCACCTAAGCAGGTTCCTATGCACAGAGAAACCCACTGCTGTCGGTGGGCACAGAGCTGGCTGAAGGATAAGCTCACTCCCGCCCAGCGGAGGGCAGGGCACCATGAGCCTGAGCGCTGTGTTCCTTTAAATGCCATAAGCAAACCCAATAAACCCACAAAATGGATTCTCATGCAAATGCCTTCCCCTCCTTGCCCCCACCCCAGGCTACTCGGCCTGGGAGCCCTGTATCGGATCACGGTGCACTCCCTTGTGCTGAGCTGGCCAGCTGGTGCATATACAAGCATATGCACAAGCATGTGAGGGAAATAAAATCTGGCAAGATAAAAATGAAGTGTCTTAATAGTGCCTCTCTCAATAACTGAAAGGTCTTTTTTTTAAAAAAGAAAAGGAAAGATAATATAGGCTGGTATTAATATGCCCCACCAGGTATGTGTCCCTTAGATGCCAGTTACAGCTATAATTTTTAAAAGGGAAAAAAAAATGAAACCAAACCACCCGTAGCTCTGCCCAGCAGGGCACCGTAATCGCCTCCAAAGTCATTAATCAGTTCCCAATCAATCTATTCCACCCACAGCAGGCAGCCAGCTCTCCATCGCCATCCATTCATCATGCCATGCCCCAGCTCACTGCACCATTAGCCAGAGGTTCGGCTGCAGCGAGGATAACTAAGTGCCAGGCACCAGGGCAAGGCACAGTTGCTGCTCACCTCGGCTACTGGGATGCCTTCGGGGGGACGGCACTGGAGCAGGACTTCTTGCTCCAGGGATACTTCTTTCCCCAAGGGCTCTTGCTCGAAAGTCTTCCGGAGATCTGGGGAAGGAGAAGGAGAAGGAGAAGGAGAAGGAGAGGAGGAAAAATAATTGAACGTCAGTATTAATAGCTGGTGGTTTACATTACATTTGATTGCAATACTGCCCAAAATGTGAGAGGTCTTTCTAAGCAGAGAAAATAGCATATTTGTTCCCTGGAAAGTGGGAACATGTTTTCATTTCATTCAAATACCAGGTGATCAAATGTTTCACAGTGGATTTATTATTTATATTGGGGTAGAACATGTGAACCTCGTGAGGAAATAAGACCTCACTGTGAAAGGTCATGGCCAAACACCAAAGAAAAATCAAAAGTCCTTTCCTTAGGCAATTTATATTTGGTGGAACATGCCAATGAAGTACTGAAGAAACTTAAAGAAAATTATATAAACCCATGAAACCAAAGCACGTAAACTCAGCTGCCTTAAACTCATAGGTGAAAGCGTTCACTTAATGGACTTTTAATTTATATGCATTACCTTTAGTTAATCCGCTTTAGTTGATTTGTATAAACTTTCTGATTATCCCTGTAACACTAAAGAGATGGTAATAACAATAACACGGGGCTGAACTGTGCTGGAAACCCTCTCCAGCACCACAGAAATGGTGCAGGCACAGAGAGGGCATCAAACGCTCCTCTCCTAACCTCAGACCTAATCTCTGCATACTGCACAGCTGCACACTTTGGCTGTTTTACAATTTATTGGCTTTGGTGGCACAATGGACTTGAGAAGTTCCCTCCTTACCGCTGGCTCTCTGTTTCTGACACAACCTGGCACGCTCTCTTTTTGTGTCGGGGCAGCTGAGCTACTACTTTCAGCTCCAGTAGAAACAGGGTATTTCTCCCTGCTGCTTCTTCCTGCAGCATTTACACCAGCACAAATGGCCACATGGCCACGTTGGAAGCCATATCAGAGAGTTGGTCTGGGTTTAAAAAGAAGCTTTGCAAAAAAAGTGATTTTTTTCTTTTGTGTTCTGAAGTCCGACCACTTCCCCAAGCCAGTTTACCGCATGGCTGCACAAATAGTTGTGTCATGCTGGAAATAAACACTGTGGGAACAATTTAAAAGCCAAATATTTCATATTATGGAGCCATAACCTGAGGCTGAGCTGTAAACTAGATCACTGAAATGAACCAGCCTACAAATAACCCATCCAAAGTGTTATTTTTCATCTAGACTACCTCCAAGATCTGATTTACAGGAGACCTCACAGGGAATGACATAGGCACAACTGAAGAGCAAAACGTGGGGTGGGTGAACGCACAGATGGAAAAGGATGGGGGCATTTGCCACCAAACTGAGCCCCTCTCAAACTCACCCTCAGATTGCACAAGGCCTCTGTCTCTTATCCTATATTGGGAATTGTCGTGGTTCCGATAACTGGATTTAAATATCAATCTAGTTGTACCATGGAAAGCTCTGCCATAGCCTGTCAGGTTGATTTTAATTGAAGCTGACATCATGGTAAACTTCTAAAATCCTTTCATGAAACCCACGCAGTTCCCTGGAGAGATCAAGGCATCTCTGTTGGCCCTTGGCACAGCCGGCAGAGACAGGAGGCACCCCAAGCCTCACGCGCTCCGTCTGGTGCGCGTCGGGGGTGACAGGCGCCTCCCCGCTGGGATGGGCTTTACAGCCACTGCCAGGGCACTGAACGATGAACTTTGGCAAATCCTACTGAGCCCGTGGAAGAAATCACTGCCTCCAGGTGTCGGCTTGTTTGGAGGTTAGTTACCTTTCCTACCGCAGAGCTGTCAACGGGAAGCACATGCCCGCGTCATAGCACAAAATCCAGCACTTTCACCCCAGTTGTTGATGCTGGGGGCTTTGCCCTATGGCACAGCACAGTTTATGGCAGAGGGAGGAGCAAACACCTGCAAGTGATAATTTCTTAAGCAGATACGTCACGTTTTACCAGCTTGTGTCTGTCGGCAACCTCATCACATCGGTGTTATCTCAGGCCAGTGAGGCTAGTACACCTCCAAACCAGGCCTATTTTAATACGTCTAACATGTACCTATATGTGTACGGTAGGGACGACTCTAACAGATGTTTTGTGTTCTAACAGCACGGCTGAGCATAAATGGGAGTTATGGTGTTGGCAATATAAGCATATGAACATACTAATAAATACTACATTAATAATAGCTTCCAGGTGTTCAAGATACAGAGCGCAGAGTACAGTAGAGCCAGATCAGACAGATAATAATCCAAGGTTTTTTCTTGACACATTGATTTACCATCTTCCCTACTTTTTTGAAACATTAATAGAGCTCTGAAGTTATCTCAGTAGCTTCATATGGGCACAATAATCACTTCACTCATAAAATGCTTTGCTTTAAAAAAACCCCAGTAAACAGCATTAGCCTAAAAATGTATAACAATAGTAAAAAAACAGGCTTTATCCTTTCTATTATCAACAGTTGGAATCGCTGAATATGAACAGTGCATCTTCCCTGGGAAATGTTTCAGTACAGTTATAGCAGGTGAGACTAATTCACTAGAGATCCCCGCTCCCCTCCCGCCTCGCAGAGCCTTGCTGTGTGGTAACGCTTTAAAGGCGCCATTGGATTTGAGTGGGTCAATGATCCACAAACTAAAAATACACTAAGTAGAGGCCTTGACATAATAGACAGTAATGTCCTCAAAGGAGCCATTACATACTATTGAGTAAATGATACTCATTTGAAAAAAAAAAAACCCATACATAATTATGTATTTACAACACAGGGAGCTCTTATACCCTATTCTATCAGCCTCCTCCCATGTGCTTACAGCTTTATCCGGGCAGAACGACCCACCGCCTCCCACCGCAACCATGCCTCCTGCAAACAGACACAGATGGCAGCTGGGCAGGGCAGTTTCTACCCAACTGAGTATATGGGTGGCTGGCTGCCACCAGACAAACCAGCCAGTATGGAAGGAAGTGGAGGGCCTGCACAAACAACTTTCCCACCTGCTTCAGCTATCATGAAACATCCTGCTGGGATACCACTGGGTTTTGAAATAATTCCTTTTTTTTTTTTCTATGACCCTTGCAGTATGAATTTTGTGGATAACATAGATTTCCTTATAATTCTTCAATCTTCAACTTCCTTTTCCCATTCAACAATTACAGTCATCACGACAATTTCCCACTGTCAGCCACGAATGGGTGAGCTGGCTGAAGTGCTGAGGGACTCTGGATCTTTTCCAAGTACAGTGTTTTTGAAAAGATTTTTTACTTTTTCAAAGTGCCATATAAGTTGCAATTGCTTGCAAGCAAGGACAGAAGGACGCATATTCCCAGAGAATGGTAAAAGACAAATAAAATACACTCCAGAAAAAAAAAATTTCAACAATCTTTGGAAAATATGCCTGAAAAAAAAAAAAAACCCGACAGATTCAATCTGTTCTAGGTTAGGACTTCTTTGCCTGGGAAGAGGTAGTGTGAATTATTGAAAGCCCAGACCCCGCAGCAGCCCCATTACCTATTTCTGAGCATGAGCCTCATCTAACTTCACCTTCAGTAGGGAAGACAGGAAGAGAAAGGCATTTGCATCTTTTTTGCTGCATTGTTTCTTAATGTGGAATAATCCCTTATTGTCAGTGTTAGCAGTACTCTTCCCCCCTATTATTCAGGTAATATTGTTGCCCCGGCTCTCCCCTTCTACAGCGGAGCGAGTCCTGGTGGAAAGCTCTGTCCTGTCTGGGCGAACTGGGCTCTGCCAGCCTCAACTACCATCAGATGGCAATTCCCCCACCGTAACTTTCTTTTCTGGGCTGTCATCATAAAAAGAAACCAGGGGGAAGAATTAAAATTCTGGTCTGCCACCTTGAGCCAGACTCTCTCTTCGTTACTAATGTATAGTGTTAGTGAATTCAGACGGGGCTCTTGTGGCATGTATTGCGGCACATTTACAGCATACTTAAGAAGAGACTTTCTTCCAGCACTCCTGAAATACCTCTGCACAACCCTGTCTGCTAAGGACAGATGGCTGTATCCAGAGCTGCATTAAAATGAGAGAATTTCCACAAACATAAGACTGAAATAGCATGATAAGAAATCAAAATCTCAGTGCAAACCATATTGTTACCTTCATTCCTCCATTTCTCTGCTATCTGGGGAGAGGGGCATTAGATTTTAATTTTGATGCACTGTTAAATGACTTCATTTTAAGTTTAATGCACTTGTAGCTTACGAACAACTTAAAAGTTGTATTTTTAGCCACTAAATATAACAGTCTGTATATGAACTCCTGGCATTTCCCCACTTCCTTTTCTGGCTGTCATCTTCCAAGAAAGTGCAAAGAATGACCCTCTTCTTGTTTTTAATCAAATATATTTTATCTCTTTGCTGTTGTTCTGTTTTTTGCTGTGATGGGTGGGTGGGTAAAACTTTAAGGATATCTTTTATCATTTCTGAGAAATGTGATAAGAGGCAGGCCAGACGCCTTCAAGGCAGTGCTAATGCAAGGGTGACTAATGAATGAGCATGAAAAACGGACACTTGTCAGCCAGGAATTAGATGTAAACCAGAAACGAACAGAACAATGAAGCATTACTGTCAGGGGAAGATGGATTTCTGCCCTTGGTAGACCTTAAAGACTCCTTACTCTATTCTGTGCTCTTTCTAGTAACTCCAACTTCAACTTTTCCTTCTGTAACAAACATGCCAAACATTTCAAAAAAATGAGCAAGCTTCAAGAACACCAAAAGCAAAACCCCATTATTTTCCATCCAACTTTCATATTAACTACTGCCATTGAGAGAAGTATTTTTGATGTATACCTTCAGAGAAATAAGTTTTTAAGAAAGTGAAAAATCCTTTACAAAGAGTACATATACCCATACATCAGATCAGTCTGCTTCATGACCCATGTAAGTGTGTACAGACATCCATATAAAGCCAAATACGTCATACGGGAGAAACACAGTCAAAACACTAGGAAATAGGTAACAAGGCTTGGTATTTTTTTCACCATTATTAATGGATCAATGGGTAGCCACGCTTACCAAT